GATTTTCTTCGTTCTCTGCACTGTCTCTAAGCAAGTAGTAGTCCTTATCTTTTAGGACACTCTTAGTCCTGCCATATTCTGGCAGCAAAATTTTTTCACCAACTTTCACACTCACTGACTGAATGTCACCATTCTTTCCTCTGGCTCCTGATCCAACTGCTACTACTGTTGCTTGTAGCACTTTCCCTTGAGCTTTTTCTGGAATCATGATGCCTCCTTTGATGCCTCAGCCACGCATCATTCAACCAGAGCAGGACTGAGGGGAGGGGAAGGGAGATGCCACCGGCTCGAGCCCCGCAGATAAAGAAAAGTCCTTTTGGGTCTGTCAGGGCTTTAGCCAACTTGGAGACATTTGGGAAAAACAAGCAAGCGTCCATTCAAATTATAGATACTTCTGCAAAGGTCCCTCCATAAGTCCAGGTCATCTGCGGACATATAACTGCCCAATGTTCCCCGCAGCTCACCTCGTCTCCAGAGACGATTGAAGCCGGCTTCTGCTTCCTTTCAGCAGCATTAAGTTCTGTGGGGCTTGCCACCGGACAAACCTTCGGAGGCTGTGGGGGGCACCATTTGTGGCAATGAAAGCCTGGACCATTGAGCAGACCTTTGGAAGTTGAATTTTCGCTCCTCACACGGGGCACTATTTGTGGAAATGAAGGCATGTAGCAGAGAAGGCAGGTGAGGCATTGCAGGATGTTATAACAAAGATGGAAGGAAAATAAAGCAGGACTCTTTGCTGCTCCCAGGGGAGCCAGGGTTCCTCACAAGCCCCTGTGTCAGCTCTCCATCCAGCGCTGGATCTATAAATGTGCGGCTCGTTTCCTGCTTGCTTCGGCCATTAGGGCCTCAGCCTGCTTCCTCAGGAGAGGCTCCCTGATGGAGAGAGATTGATGAGCGCAAGCAGAACACAGGATGGACTCTGGCATGGCCCACAACCACACGTCCTCCTAATTCATCTCAGCAATTAGCAGTGTGCTTGTGATGAACCCTTTCACTTCAGGCTGGGAGGTCCTCTGCTGTCAGAGAGCAAGAGGAGGAGGTTTTCAAGGGTTACCAGGTCCAGGCAGTGCCTCCTTCCCCTTCACACTTTCACAGGGCCATTTCTCCTGGCCCCGACCAGGAACATTTTTGTCAAATCCTGAAGTGCTTGGGTTCATTCACATTGGCTCTGGTGCATCTCAGGGCAGAGCAAAAAACTACTTTGCAAAAACAGATCCCCATGGGCTAGAGAGTCACTGCCTTTGCAAAGAACCCCTTGTCAAAACGCCCCGCTCAAAAATGCAAACTGTCCCAAGCAAGATGCTGCTTTCTTACCCCATGTCCTTCCTCCTCAGAAAGAAACACACCATGCTTCAAGCTGTGCTTAGAAAAGGAAAAAACAAATGAAGTACTCTTGGAGGAAGTTCATTACAACACAAACCTAAATTTCACTTTGTAT